CCATTTTAAAGTACAGGACATTCATGAACCTTTTTTGAATTTAGTATTTCAGAGTCTCAACGACAGATTTGTCTGGTAAAATGAGATGCATTTTATTTTGAGCAAATCCCTTTTTTAAGTAACATTTATTAAATGAAATACCTGCTACACACATATTGTTGATTGATGCTTTACAAGGTTTATGGTTTGTGTGTATATATGCACTAAGGGATATTTGAACAAACATGTTGTCAGAGCTGTCATGTCTGTCCTGATGAGCCAGGGAACTTGTTGACAACTGTGGGGTGGAAAAATCTAACATTGTCTTACCACAGTTTAAGGACCAGGTGATGAATATTAAGGTACAGGAAAGCAGAGAGATGAAGCCAAACTATATTATTCAACAAATAATCAAAAGAAAAGTGAAGCCAAACAAACGGAACACTCTAAAGCAGGGGTGTCAAAACCATTTTCACTAAGGACCACGTGAGCATTACAACTGGCCCTCTTCAAAGGGCCAGTTGTAATTACTTCAGTGTTTTGTGTTTAAATTCAAACATGAAATGTCACATTCCTCGTCATCGCTGCAGCTGAGACCCCCTAACAAACAAGTGTTCTACCTGGTATTTTGTGCTTAGAAACGTCATTTTACCACATCCTCTTGTAAACACTGAAAATTACTATGTGTACGACTGGCTAAATGTGAAATAAATAATACAGGAATACTATTTAAAATAAATAAAAACAATGTTTTTGTGGATGATTTTACTAACAGCTGAGTTGTATAGCTAACCTTTTGAACTGTGAAATCTCCCACTTTCCGATTCTCGCTGGAGGGGTGTTCCAGTTTAAATTTATGACTTGTAAGTGGGAATTTCCCACTTTCCAGTACAACTAAGCTGTAAGAAAAGTAGATGGCAAAAATATTGCTAAATGTAGATTAAGCTATATGCAGTGAATTTCACCTTATGTTGGCTACTTTTACACTCTGAGCACATCCACCTAGTGGTGGTATTTTGTCATTTTGTGGGTTAAATATTTGACAGGAGATGTAGTTTATGGTCAATGCTGCCCTCTTTTAGAACATTAATATATTGTTGAAACGCACATGGGGCCACATAAAATGCTGTGACGGGCCACATTTGGCACATGGGCCTTAAGGTTGACACATGGTCTAAAGTCGGTCTAAAGGCAGTTAAAGAGGCACATCAGAGAAAAGGAAGTTCATGATCTATGTTTTTTTTTTTTTTT